GTTTTTTCTAGCTCTATAAAATAATCTTGGTAGTTTGATTGGTATAGCAGTGAATAAGTAAATTAATTTAGGTAGAATTGTCATTTTTGTTATATTAGCTCGGCCTACCCATGAGCAGCTAATATTTTTCCAGTTATTTAGATCTGACTTTATTTATGTGAAAAGTGTTTTGTAATTGTGTTCATATAGTTTCTGAGTTTGTTTTGGCAGGTAGACTCCCAAATATTTTGTAATATCTACAATAATTTTAAATGGAATTTCTCTTTCTATCTCGTGCTGTTGGGCTTTGTTAGTAATATATAGAAATGCTGATGATTTATATAGGTTTATTTTATATCCTGCAACTTTGCTAAATTTGTTTACTATTTGTTAATTATTATTATTTTTACTTCATTCTCCAGGATTCTCTAAGTATACCATCACATCATCTGCAAAGAGTGATAGCTTTGTTTCTTCTTTGCCTATTCCAATTCCTTCAATTTCTTTTTCTTCTCTTACTGCTAAAGCTGACATTTCTAGTACAATATTGAACAACAGTAGTGATAATGGACATCCTTGTTTCACCCTCGATCTTACTAGAAATGCTTCTAGCTTATCCTCATTACATATAATGCTTGCTGGAGGTTTAGGTAGATGCTACCTATCATTTTAAGGAAGACTCCATTCATTCCTATACTCTCTAGTGTTTTTAATAGAAATAGGTGTTGTATTTTGTCAAATGCTTTTCTGCATCCATTGAAATAATCATGTGATTTCTGTTAGTTTTATTGTTGGTATGGTCAGTTAAGCTGATAGTTTTCCTTGATATTGAACCAGCCCTGCATTTCTGGTATAAATCCTATCTGGTCATAGTATATTATCCTCGAGATAAGTTGCTGTAATCTCTTTGCTAATATTTTATTTAAAATTTTTGCATCTATATTAATTAGGGAAATTGGTCTACAGTTTTCTTTCTCTGTTTTGGCTCTTCCTGGTTTAGGTATCAGTACCATATTTGTATCATAAAAAGAATTTAGTAGGACTCTTCCTTCATCTGTTTTCCCAAATAGTTTATATAGTATTGTAATTAGTTGTTCTTTAAATGTTTGATAGAATTCACTTGTAAATCCATCTGGCCCTGGAGATTTCTTTCATAGGGAGCTGATGACTTGTTCAATTTCTTTTTCTGAAATGGGGTTGTTTAAGTATTTTACTTCCTCTTCTGTTAATCTGGGCAATTTACATTTTTGTAAATATCCATTTCACTGAGATTGTCAAATTTATTGGCATGCAGTTGGGCAAAGTAGTTCCTAATTGTTGTTTTGATTTCCTCTTTATTGGTGGTGAATCCACCCTTTTCATTTTTGATACAAGCAATTTGGTTTTCTTCTTTCTTTTTTTAAATCGAATTAACCAAAGGTTTATCTATTTTATTGTTTTTTTCCCCCCACAAAACCAGCTCTTAGTTTTATTGATTAGTTCAATAGTTTTCTTTCTTTTTTTTTTTTAAATTTTTAGGCAGTTGGGGTTCAGTGACTTGCCCAGGGTCACACAGCTAGTAAGTGTAAAGTGTTTGGTGTGAGGCTGGATTTGAACTCAGGCCCTCCTGACTTCGGGGCTAGTGCTGTATCCACTGTGCCACCTAGCTGCCCCAATAGTTTTCTTAATTTCAATCTTATTAATCTCTCCTTTGGTTTTCAAAATTTCTAATTTGGTATTTAATTGGGAATTTTTAATTTGTTCTTTTTTAGTCCAGTAATATTTGAATTATCTGTCCTCAGTCTATTTTCCAGATTATTTGTTTTTCCAATGAATTATTTCACTTTTTCTTCTATTTTCTTTTCATTCTTTTGGCTTTGTTTTATTGTTTCTTGATGTCTCATGGAGTCATTAGCTTTCATTTGACCAATTCTGATTTTTAAGGAATTGTTTTCTTCAGTGATTTTTTCTACCTTTTTTTTCTGTTTGGCCAATTCTGCTTTTCAAGGAGTTATTTTCATGAGTGAAGTTTTGTATCTGTTTTTCATTTGGCCAATTCTGTTTTTTAAAGTGTTATTTTCTTTAGTGTTTTTGCACCTCTCCTATAATTTTCATAATTTTCTTCCTTCATTCTCATTTTTTTATCTAATTTTTCCTCTATCACTCTTACTTAACTTTTGAAAATAATTTTTTAGATCTTCCAGGAATTCTTGTTATGATGTCATGTTTTCCTTAAATTCCACAGAGTCCTTTGTCTCATCAATAATTGGATCATTTTCTTTTGTTTTGCAATATTTATTCCTAGATGCCTAAACTTGTTCACTAGATGTGGAAGCCATATTTCCTTCTGTTTTTAATGTTTTTCCTGATTCATCTGTTATATTCAGGGTCTTTGAGTTTTCTTCTTCCTGAGATCTTTGGTAGTTTCAGTCTTTTTTTCCCCCCTAATTTTTCCCTCTGTTCATTCTTTGGGCCTGGACCTCAAAAGTGTCTCAGCCTCCTTCTACACTGGACAGTTCATGGTTCACCAGCCTGGTCTCTACCCCAAGTGGCTTTTGAGTGGTCGGAACTGGCCCTCACTGGATGCTTTGCTCTTTCTCCCAGGCTCAGTAGCCCGGCACATGCACGGTGTCTTATCCTCATGAGCTGTCCCATTCCCTCTATTCCTTAATTCTCTGGACCTGTAGCATCAGTTCAGCGCTCTGCCACACTGTGCGGTTTTCTGCTCCAGCCCTTGGAGTACAAACCTTTGCAGCACTCGCTGTCTTCTCTGGCCAGGGCAGACTTCCACAGTCTGGAGCTGGAGGGTCCATGGTGCTGGAAAGAGGGAGGAAGACCAGAGCGTGGGGCTGGCTTTTGTTGTAAGCCTGTGTCAGGTCCTTAGGGGCACTGAGTCAGCTCAGGGTCCATGGATGTCAGTTCAAGGGGTCTTTCCGTGTTTTCTTGTGTGTTTTTTGGTGAGGCAGTTGAGGTTAAGTGACTTGCCCAGGAACACACAGCTATGCCAAGTGTCTGGGGTGAATTTGAACTCAGGTCCTCCTGACTCCAGGGCCGATGCTCTATCCACTGCACCGCCTCGCTGCCCCTGGTGTTTTCTTTCTGACCTTCTTTTGAATTTTAGGGATCCTTAACCATGACATCGATTTCTGTTTTGGAGAGGTTTGAGAGGTCGAGATCAGGTCTAGTCCTCCATCTTGTTGTCCATGGGACTCACAAGTCCCAAGTTCTCACTTTACGGGGCAAATGTTCAGAAGAAGTAGTTTCTGCCTGCTCCAGGTCCCACAAGTGGTAAGTAGTGACCTGGGACCCCCACCCCAGCCCCAGAGCTCTGCCTCCTCTTCAGATAGTTATCGAGTTGTATGCCCACTATAGCATTTGAAGACGACAACCTAGTTGTGCTTCATGATGAATCGAATTGAATTTATTTGAAATAACATAAAGAAGCATAAGATTAGGAATTTGGAGAAAGGAGTGGTGAGGGTGGGCTTGAGTGCTCAGGAAAGGCTTTGTGGAAGGGGGGATAATGGGCAAGTCTGTGGCTAGAGCAGAAGGCAATGGTCACTCGTCCAGGAGATGCTTGGGTGTCGTATGTGGAAGGCTCTGTCCTCGGGAGCAGGTGTAAGAACAAAGGCTGGACAGGTGGGGAAGGAGATGCGGCGTCCTCGAGCGTCAGGCCGAGGGGTCCGAATGACCCTCAAGCCCTGGAGGAGCAGTGGAAGGCTTTTGAGAAGGACTTGTGTGCAGGAAGAGGCCCAGGGGACAGTGAGGAGATGCCACTAACCCAGGCCTCGACCAGGACTCTGGAAGCAGCAATGGAAGAGGCCCTAGGAGAGATCGTCCGGAGCAGTCCGTGGGGCTGATCTGGGTCTGAGGACACCTCTCCTCTGTTCACTGCTGCCTGGACTTGGGAGGAAGTGGGCTGGAACAGGAGCCCGGTGGACTTAGATTAGACAGAAGGAGGCCCTCACCCCCACGATCTCCCAGGGTGCTCAGCATTAAGTCGGAGAACACAGAATCGCCTTCCCTACACATCTGACAGAACAGAGGCCGTTTTCTTCATGTGCGCCTTCCTGTCCTTTCAGTGCGTTTAGAGGGGGGACTGCACTTGCTCTGTGTGAGGCCCTGTGAGTCAGTGAGGGGGCCAGAGAGTAGAGGACGGGACTCCAGTCTTCTTGGGGCTTGGCTGTTTCATCATGCCCAGTCACCCCGCACGTACTGATTGCTTCCTCCTCTCCATCTCCATCACGTGTTCTCACTATTGTATATTCACCTCAGACTGCAGCAAGTTGTGTTTATGAATGTTTGTATTTGCTCACGCCAAGTGTGGGTTCGGTCTCGTCTGAATTACAAAATCCTCCAGACCTCCTTTTTGTCTCACCCGTGTCAGCAGACACAGAGCTCAGCACACTGCCCAGAATGCTTCCTCGGGGCCTTTCTCATCCACAGGGGGCCCTTCGGTTCCTTCCTGTCCACATGGGGATGGTGTATGGCTGGCCGTCTTTGGGTTCATCATTTCTGCTCTGTGTTGTCACTGGGCGTCCCTCTTTCCTGTCCTCTGCCAGCCTGTGAGCTGGGCGCAGTGGCCATGGTGCCTTCATCTTGCCCCGTCCTCCTAGCGTAGGCTCCTAGATCTAGACCTGAAAGGGACCTTAGACACCATCTGGTCGATGCTCTCATTTTACAAAGGGGGAAACTGAGGCACAGAGAAGTCAAGTGCTAGAGGCAGGATTTTAGCCAGCATCCTTTGGCTCTAAATCCAACGCTCTTTCCACTCTAAGTCACTGTGTTTCTGGAAAACTAACCCAGACCGTGCTTGTGAGGCCTCAGTGTAGTACAAGGAGAGGCATAGAGAAATCCCCATAGAACATTCCCTGAGAATGTTGTCTTCTGGGCCCCGGCAGCTACCAGCCCATCAGGTGCCCTGGGTCTCCCCAAGACGTCCAGAAACCAGCCCACTGCCCCCCAGGCCTGGAACTCGCGCCCGTCATCCTTCTACAAGGTAAACCTTTGCTCTCTTCACTTCTTGGATGCCTTCTCTGCAGGCTCGTGGAGGAATTCATGCTGTTGGCCAACATGGCTGTTGCTCATCGCATCTACCGCGCGTTCCCTGAGCGGTCCTTGCTGCGCCGCCACCCGCCACCCCAGAGCAAGCTGCTGAGTGACCTCGAGGAGCTCTGTGACCAGCTGGGGCTGGCCATCGACTTCAGTTCAGCAGGAGCCCTTCATGTGAGTGCCTCGTCCTGCCCAGCAATCCCACCTTTCCTCAGAGGAGCCTGGCAAGGTCTAACGGATCTTATTGAGCGGCAGATTTGGGCACTCCTGGAAGAAGAAGGGTCTGTGCGTTGCACTTGGCTCTGCTTTTGACCAGGAAGAGCCGGAGAGAGGTGGGCAAGGCCGGCACAAGCAGCAGTCCTGGCTGAAGCCCAGGGGGCAAGGGGAGGGAGAAAGGCGGGACCTGAGACCCAGAGAGACTTTGGACCCCAGAACACAAGGTCTGTTCTGGCGCCCGCCCGCGCCCCCCCCCCCCCCCAGCGCCACCAGCCTTGTCGATGGAGAGACACCTCAGAACACCTTGAAGCCCTTGCTCAGAAGCAATCCAGCGGCTTCCTCTTCTGAGTAATTAGTCTGTATGACCAGCTGCCAGGCTTCTGTTGGCCCCTGGGGCAAAGCTCTGGTTGCTGTGCCCGTTACATTGCTGGGCAGAAGGGTGGTCCCTGGGGTCTTTCTCCCCTCCAGGCAGTGGTCCAGGGGCAGCCCAGGGAATGGTGATCCACGCTGTGGGCCCCTGCCTGGAGCGGGGAGAGCTTTCTGATTTCACTGACTGTGAGCTTTGAAACTCCTTCTGCTCCCCCCTCTCAGCCAGGATTGTGCTGAGGGTGTGCCAGACACGGCCTCTGCCGTCAGTGGAGTATGTGAGCACAGTGGGGTGAGTCCTGGGCTTAGGAGCATTTCACACACTGACCAGTATTGCTTCCATTTCAAGATGTTATTATATTTTTTTTGCTGAAATTACTTTGAAAGACCGCTTTTGGGGTGTTATGCCAGGGACACAGAAACCGACAACCTCAGCCCTGCCCCACCCAAAGAGAAAGTTCATTTGGTGCGTGTGTGCGGAGGTGGGGGCCTGGAATCCCCTCTGTGTCAAAGGGGTCACACTGAGGGCGAGAGCCGCCGCTCCAGGGGTAGCTGCCAAGGAGAGCAGCAGGACCCAATGCTGGCGCTCACAGGCTGCTGCGGACAACTGGGCTCTGGCCGGCCATTGCTGAACCCTGTCCCCACCAGAGGTTATGTGGGTTTGGGGCAGGCCTGCAAAGCAGCTGGAACCTCCAGAAGCAATATGCTCTGGTGGGAAAGGATCTGGACCAGACTTTGGAAGCCAAGATTTTATTCCCAACCAACTGTGTGACTTTGGCAAGACGCTTCCCGTCTTGGACCTCAGAATGAGAGAATTAGATTACATGATCTCTGTAGTCTTGCCCAGGCTCCTCATACTCTGACCCCCAGGGTGCAGCCACTGCTTTGATCAGGCCGTGGGCCAAGAGCTCTGAGGCAGCCGGAGCAGAGCGGGGCAGGCCCGAGAGCCCGGCCTCACCGGAGGAGGACACATGCCCTCCTCTTCCCTGGCTTGCATTTTACTTGGAACGTATTGGGCTTTTGTTTTTTTTCCTTCCTAGAAAAGTCTGACAGAGATGTTCGGGGACGACATGTATTCTTTGGCTTCGAAGGAGGTGCTCACCAACATGTGCTCAAGGCCTATGCAGGTAAGCAAGCCCAGCTTCTTCCCCTGCCCCTCCGCCCGCCCTCCCGCTTGTCTTCCCTCCACCCTCTGTGGAAAGCCACCCACGGGGCGGAGCCGCCTCCCATGATGCCTCTGAGGGGACCATCCGGCTTTCTTCAGACCCGAGGCGAGGAGAGAGCGCTGGAGCCGTGGCCTGGGACAGTCTCCCCTGCACCAAGGGGTCCCCAGTTTCCTCACCCTCCCCCCCTTTTCACATGCTCACCTAATTCTGCCCTTAAGTTCCTGCAGAAAGGAGGATTCCTTAGCGTTCAGCTCCCCACCTCAGGTGCTGGGCCTGCTTTCAAAGCCTGGGCCCAAGGAGCCGAGGCCATCCCCCTCAAATTGGCCAGGGATACCAGCTGGGAGGCTGCTCCCCCATAAGGGGGCAAGGACAGAGGAAGAAGATGGGGAAGGGGAGGTTTGCCTTCTCTCCCCGAGATGTCGGAGGATGCTTCAGAGAGAGCTGGGCGAGTACCCGGGGGGCCAGGTCTGGGGCTGTGCAGGCTGTCAGCCTACCCTCAGGCAGTATTTAGTAATCAACCACTGTGTGCCAAGCCCTGACCTAGGCACTGGGGGATGTACTCCCAAGACCAGAGGGAATTCCTAAAGGGACCGAGGGTCTAACCCAGGGACACAAAATGTACACATCAATATATACACCAAGTACAAAAAAGCAAAAATGGTGCAAGGAGGTAACAGCGAGGGAGGAGACAACTAGAAAAGGCCTGGCTTTGAAGGAAGCTAGGGAGTGAGAGGTGAAGGTGAGGCAGGAGTGCCTTCCCAGCATGGGGAACAGCCAATGCAAAAGCTTGGAGGTGGGAGATGGAGAATCTTTTGTGAAACAAAAAGAACGGTGTGATTTGACAGACTGGTATGTGAAGTGGAGCTTTGTAAGATTAGCCTGGGAAGTCAGGTGGAGCCAGGGGTGAAGGGCTTCAGATGCCAGACAGAGGAGCTTGTCTTTGGTCCCAGAAGTAATGGGGAACCATGGGAGTTTGCTGAGTAGGGGTGTGGTGTGACCAGACAGTGGACTGGACGGAGGAGGGCCATGAGGCGGAGGAGGCTTGGGGAGGCTCCCGAGGGACCGGTGATGGGGACCTCATGGTCTGGTTCTGCTCTAGGGTGGGGGGAGGCTGGGGCAGCGGCGGCCGGGCAGTGGCATCCTGACTTTGACCCAGAGCGTGGGGCAGCCAAGGCCCTGGCGCTGTGTTCGCTGTGCTTCTCTCTTGCCCTTCTCTGCTTCCTGAGCTGACTGCCTCTGGCACCCCAGCACTGCTGCATACATGGGTCCTTCCCCACCCTGAAGGCCCCTTCCCCTCTGCCTTGATGCCCCCAGCACGCCAGCATGTCTGTCCCCGCCTTCCTGCTGAGCCCTGTTGGCCAGAGCCTGTCCACAGAGCAGCTGGGCAGTGAATGGGAGGGAGGCAGAGGCGCACCCCAGCTTGCAGCTGGGGAGGTGGGTGGCTAGGAAGGCAGCCCAGAGAGCGGCGGCAGCCCGGGTTTGCTCTGGCCAATACCCCGTGCCCTGTTGGCTCTGCCAAGGAGTGCGGTCCCCTGAGAGTGCCCGGGGTCCCTCCATCCTGCCGCCTGGCCTGGCACGCTCCCTCCTTAGCTCTGAGCACCAGCCACCCCCTATGAGCTGCTTGTCGCCTGCTCCGGGTCCTTGGGAACCATGGAATCCTAGCTCCAGGAGACCCCGGGTGAGGGGGCGCTGAACACTGAGTGCCCCGCTTGTGATAGCAGGACCGCTGCGAAGAGCAGCGGGAGGTGCGCGGGCGGTGGGGGGTTTCTCCAGCTCAGTCTAGGATTTCAGGCCGGCCCCCTCCAGCCCCACGCTGTGGCAGCCCTGACAGGACGCACGTTCCTAGGCCCTGTGAGAATTTGGGGGAGCATTCTGTCATCTCCCAGGGGCCGCAGGTATTTCCTGGGAATCGGCAGAGGAAGCCGAGCCGCCTTGGAGCGGCCTGCTGCTGGGGGCAGACTCCTAACCCTGCACTGGGGGGCAGGTGGAATCCCTGTGGCTGTGGATGCCGTGTAAGGCTTCCCATGAGGCTGCCCTCGGGGTGCCGGGGAGGAAGGAGCAGGGGCTGCCCCGCGGCCCCCGCTCGCTGTCTGGCCACACTTTGATCCGTGGAGTTTGGCAGGACCAAGCCTGAGCTGGGTCAGGGTGGAGGCTCCTGGGGGCCTTGCCCTGTGTGCAGGCCAGAGCCCAACAGGAGCTGGAAGGGAAGGGGGTTTGGGAAGCCGAGGCCCGCCCTCCCTGCCTGAGCCAGGCCTCAGTTCTGCTCCATTTGGCACCGCGTGTGCCTGCATGTGCGTGCGTGCGTGCGTGAGTGTATGTGTACACGCATGTGTATCCACGGACATAACTTTACATCATCCTGAACCTGCTCACACAGCGTCCAGAGCCCCTGTTCAGTCGTGGCCGGCTCTCCATGGCCCCATCTGGGCTATTCTTGGCAGAGATACTGGCGGGGTTTGCCGTTTCCTTCTCCAGCTCATTTGACAGATGAGGAAACTGAGGCAGGCAGGGTGAAGTGGCTTGCCCAGGAAATGTCAGAGGCCAGATTTGAATTCAGGAAACTGAAGTCTTCCTAATTCCACGCTCAGCACTCTGTGCGCTAGGGTGCCACCTCCCCGCCCCTCTTCCCCCAGCCCGTCAGGCCTCCTTTTTCTCTCGTTCTGGGAGCCTGGAATAGCAGACAGTGGGTAGCAGGACATCCCTGCTCCCAGGATCAGCAGAGGCTTCTGGGAAAGCCAGGCTGCTCCACCCAGGTGGTGCCTCAGTCTCCCTCAGACCCAGCCTTGTTCCTCTCCCTGAGCCCCTCCTCCACCCTCTTCTCCCCACCCCCATCCCCAGTTCACAGACCCTCCCCTTACAGAAGGCTCTTCGCTGAGCTGTAGTGGAATGTTCTTCTCATGGAGGATCAAAGTGGAAAGTGGCTAGAGACACAGCCCAGGCCCCAATCCCAAAGAGAGGGGCTTTTGAAAATTCAGACGTCCGGGTGGGAGGGAGCAGCCAGCTCCCTGAAGGCCTCAGGAGGCTGTTGGCTGCTTGCTGTGCTCTCAGCCCCAGCCCAGCGTGGGGGCACCCTGGGAGCTGATAGCGCCAGCTGGTATCTCCCATCACCATCACCCCAAAAACTGCCCCAGAGAAGATCTGTCCCAGCCGTTGGGGAGACCAGTGTAGGCAGGGGCAGGCCGAGATTAGAAGGTCAGGGCAAGGCTGGCATTGCCATTTGTCTGAGACAGTGAAGAGCCAGAGTTGAAGCCACACCCCTAGAAGCAGACACTGCCTGCGCTGTCGCCCACCCTCTGCCCCATCTCAGCAGTGACCAGCCACCACCTCCTCACCGGACGGTGCCAAGCTCTCTCTATGGGCAGCCATTGGGATACCTGGCCTTCTTTCCCTTATTCAAGGCCACTGATTCTCTCTCTAGCCCTCGTTCTCGTGACTGCTCCGTGGTTGGCGTGCCCTTCCCCTCTCTCCAGCTTAGATGACTTACTCCCTGCTCCCCCACCCACCAGAGGCTGCCCACTAGCCTGGGCCCCAGCCCCTCCCTGCCCCCTGAGACCTTCCTCTCCCCTCCAGATGGCCTTGTACTTCTGCACGGGCGTGCTGCAGGACGAAGCTCAGTTTCGACACTATGCCCTCAATGTGCCCCTCTACACCCATTTCACCTCACCCATCCGCCGCTTTGCTGACATCCTGGTGCACCGGCTTCTTGCGGCCTCGCTCGGTAGGTTGGGGCCCTCCTGCAACCGCCCGTGTGGGCCAGACTGAGGGAAGCGGGTCACCCCAGGCCACCCGGCAGAAGGAGAATCCAGCCAGAGGGCAGCAGCCGACGCTCACCACAGTTACTGGCCAGGCCCGGGGAGCCAGCCTGGGAGCTGGTGTGGAGTCCCAGCGTGCCAGAGCTGGGCAGACCAGAGAAGGCCAGCCCAACCCCCCCCCCCCCCCCCCCCCCGGGCAGCCCGGGGAAGGCCCCCCCCCCCCCCCCCCCCCCGCCCCCCACTGTAGAGAGAGGGACAACCCCTGCAAGGCCCTGGCCGGACTACTGCCCTCCACGTGTTTTGTGGATAGACTTCAGAGGGAGAGAGAAAACGGTTACTTGTTTTTTCTATTTATTTCCATTGTGCTCCTCTGTGTTTTATTTTATGTATTTAAGAACGCAGTTCTGAGGAGGGGTCCCTCTGCTTCTGCAGCCTGCCTGCTGAGAGAGGGGTCCATGGCACAAAGTGAGGACCCCCAGGGCCAGACGTTCTCTGTGGAGGGAGCTGAGGGCCCAGGTCCTCCCTTCCCTCTGTCCTCATCCTCGCAGGGCTTGCAGGAGAAGGGAGGTAGCCTGCAGCCCCTGAAGGGCCCATCCCCTCTCCTCACCAGGTTCCAGAGAGCCCCTGAACCTGGATGCAGATGCCCTCCAGAAACAGGCTGACCACTGCAATGACCAGCGGATGGCCTCCAAACGGGTGCAGGAGCTCAGCACCAACCTCTTCTTTGCAGTCATGGTCAGGGTAAGGCAGTCCAAGGCTCTGGCCCTTCTCGCTCCCTCCCTCAACCCTCATCCCCAGGCTGAGATCACTCCTCCCTCGCCCTGGCTCCTGGCTGTCTCTGGACTTGCCTCTGAAAGGGGAGCAGAGGCTGGGGTTTGGGGTGCAGCCCTAGCCTCAGGAAACATAGTGTCCTCCTTGCCTAGCGGTGCCTGGGCCTGCAGGTGACCTTGTGGCATCCTTGCCTCCTACAGAAGAGCGGCCCCTTGGAGTCAGAGGCCATGGTGATGGGGGTCCTGAACAAGGCCTTCGACGTGCTGGTGTTACGCTTTGGAGTGCAGAAGCGTGTCTACTGTAACGTGAGTGCTGCTGGGGGCTGGGGGGAGAGAGCCCTGCTTGGGGGGGGTCCAGGTGCCCTGGGAAAGGAGAGAAAAGGGGAGGCCTCTCACCAGTGACAGGAAGAGACGGGAGCAGGAGGGACAGCCCTGGAGCGTCATTCTGGTGCCGAGACTGGGGCTCTCCCTGGCAGGGAATGGGGAGAGCCCGAAGGCCCGTGGGCTGCCTCCATGGGAGTCAGAGACCCAGCCTTGTCCTCTCTCCTCTTCCACCCTCTTCTTCCCACCCCCATCCCCAATTCACAGACCCTTCCCTTACAGAAGGCTCTTCACTGAGCTGTAGTTGAATGTTCTTCTCATGGAGGATCAAAGTGGAAATGGCCTGGAGAGCATTTCCATGTCATGAATGACACCACAGCTGGAGACAGTGTCCTTTACCAGGGATCCCTGTCCTGGCAGCATAACCCCCACGTTCTCGTGGCTGCTGCCTCCTGTCCCGGGTTGGGCCCGCCTTAGCTCCCTGCACCCTTTGGCTGGTCGTGCTGTGTGCTTTGGGGCCTGACCTTGCACTGTGTGTGTCCACTCTGAGCCCTCCCAAGAGGGGGGCAGTGTCCTGGGCTTGGCATTCCAGGCTCCCTCAGGGAAGGTGCTAGGCTCCCATCGCTGACCCGCTCCCCGCCCCCTCTCCTGGAGTGATCGATGGCTTGGCTTCTCCAGGCTTAGCTGAGGGTCCTCAGGCTGCAGGTGTCCGGTGAGTTCCTCTCCAGGCCTGGACTGGAAATCTTTCCTGCTTGGGGTAGGGCCCACCCATGTTGTGCTCTGCTGGGACAGCCTTCCAGAACCCAGGCTTGCCTTCATGCCCTGATGAGGCATTGGGGAAAGACCTGGCCATGCTTCAAGCCTTAAATAGAAAATCTGAAGTGCCCGCTGCCATCTCCTTCCCCTGCCACCTCCTGGTCAGGGCCCTCGATTCAACTCCGCAGATCCGCGGCCAAACACCTCCTTCCTGGGCCTCCTGGGATGTGCTGCCCCCTTACTGGGCATTAAGCCACGGTCTAGAAAACCGAGGTCCCACTTCCACGTCATCTGTCAGCCCCGGCCTTCACTTGGGAGAAGAGGTGAAAGCTGTATCTCTGGTCCCGGGGCCTCGGATGTCCCAGCCCCAAGCAGTACCTCGCGGGCTTCCATCTTCTGTCCCCACCCCAGTTACTAGAAGTGGGTAGAAGTTAGCAGAGTGTAGGTGAGCTCCCCAGTGTAGCACAGCACCCATCTAGCCGGACCATGAATGGACTCTGATGGGCATTTCTGTTTTTCCTCCATCTGCTGGTGGCCATGGCCTCCTTCCTTCTCCTGGAGCCTGGGCTCGGAAGGACCATGATTGCCCTCAGCCTGTCAGCTCGCCTCTTACTAAGCTGCCAGACGGAGGATGGCTCGGGGTCTTGTTGGGAGAGTGGAAGAGGTGCAGACGGAGGCTTGGGGGGCAGGGTTGGGTGTTGTGCCTCCAGGGGGCGTGGTGATTCCTGAACCAGTAGCTGGAGCTGGACCCCTGAGCTGACCAGAAATCCAGAGGGCTCATTATGTCTCCCCACAGGCCCTGCCACTACAGGATTACCAATTTAGGAAGGTAGGGAAGAAACCAGAGCTCACCCTCATCTGGGAGCCTGAGAACCCCCAGCAGAAGGCGGTACACCAGGTGAGGCCGGCCTCCCAAAGGCCATGGAGCCCAGCCCCCTTGTTTTACAGAAGAGGCAGCTGAGGCACAGAGGGGAGGTGACTTGTCCACGGCTGGGCTTCCTGACTCTTGTGTCTCCTATACCATCCAGCTGCCTCTGAAATGGGCCCCCCAGAGGACTCCTGTGGAGGGGCAGGGGTCAGGCAACAGGCCCTGGCTCTGCCTGGTCATCCTGGGGGAGGGGGATGGGCTCTCCCCTGGGGCTGACCTTTGCTCTCCCTGGCCGCAGGTGATTGCCATCTTCAGCCTAGTGGAAGTTGTTCTGGAGGCCGAGGACAATACCCTCAAGTACAGCGCTGTCCTCAAGAGGCCGGAGGCGGGGGCAGCGGCAAAGCGAGCGCCGGAGGATGGGCCAGAGGATCGAGACGGATGAGTGCCCAGCATGGTGACCCAGCACTGCCTCCCCTCTGCCTGGCCAACTCGACTGAGCTGGACGGACGGGACCTCTCCGAGCCAGAGGGGATTTTAAGTTTGTTTAAAGTTTAAGTTAAGTTGAACAATTTGGGAGTTTTGTTGGAGTTTAATTTTAACGTGAACTGCAGGCAAAGGGAAGGGGGTGGGGAATGGACTGAGATATTGGAAGAGCGGCAGGAGAGGAGGGGGTAAAGTGCCGCCACACCTGCAGGGAATGCCCCATGCTCTTGGCCTCCCCTAGGCGAGACCCATCCATGGCAGTCAGTTGCCTGGCCCAACCAACTTGGGGCTTTCTTGGTAAATCCACATCATGGAATAAATCAAATGAGAAGGGATGGTCTGGTATATGTGGCAGTAGGAGGGTTCTTGGCTGCTGCCAAGAGAAGGTACACAGGCCGCCCCTGCTTCTGATCCATCTGTGGTGCTGGACTCTTCACTGCCTCTGGGCACCAGGGATGTCTCCATCACCCAGATTATTTATCTCGCGCCCTGGGTAATTTATAGACCCACCCTAGCAGGAGATTTATGCCAAGCATGTCATTTCTACTAATTAAAAAATACATAATTGGTACACAGGATCCCAACCCCCCCCATAAATCAGCAGAATCCCCTCCCCACAGCAATACACACAAGGTTGGCGGTGGCCATTCATAATGTCCTCATGACATTCAGACCAATGGTGTCCCCTAGGAACAGAACCTTCCAGGGCCTGGGCTTCTTCCTGGCAGCTTTCCTGGCCTTGGCTGTCCCTCTCTCATCCTAAGCCAGCCCTCAGAGGTAGAGAGATTAGACATCCCTGAGAAGCAGGCCCAGGAACCAAAGGGGGACCTTCCCAAGAGGCAGAGCTAGGCCAGATGTCATAGCAACCTGAAGGAGGAGGAGGGTCCCCCTGTGGGGTCGGATGGACGGCCTCGTTGGGAGTGGGCTCTCTTTCCCTACAGGTCTTCAAGCACAGATGGGACCGGAGCCTTCATGGAGGATGTGGTAAAGGGGATTGTCGCCAGGTTGAGCCCCAAGGCCCATCCAGCTCTGGAATTCTGCGGCTCTCTGGCTTGTGACTCTCGTGATTCTGAAAGAGTGTACCTTATTTTAAAAGAAAAGAACAGATGAAGGGGGGAGTGGAGTCACATTTTAGGTCAAGATATATTCAGGCATGGTGGCCAGTATAGGGTAAGGGTCAGCCATGGGAGAAACCCAAGGGAAGCTGTTGCCTTCTTGTTCCAACCACCTGGAGAGCAGGAAACAGCCATCCTCTGCCATGAGGGGTGATAGTGTCACGAGGTGGGCCTTGGTTAGTCGCGCAGTTCTTGGGACCCTCCCTCTCTGTCAGCAGGAGAGCAGCCGACGATCCTTAGGTTTGCTTCAGTGATAATTGTGTTTTTGAAGAGATGAAGGAGGCATGGAGGGAGCTGCTTTTCCAGATTGGACTGGTAGCCCCCTGAAGGCATGGAATGCTTGTCCTTTGTGGTGGCGGACCTGAGCTCCGCGATCTCATTTGTGTCCATCCCCAGGAGGGCCTTCCAACCAAGCTTCCCCTGGTCAGAGAAGGGAAACCGAGGCCTGTTGGAATATTCCAGATGTGCCCAATTAGGCTGTCTCCTCCACCCAGCTTCCTGCATTTCAGGGACGCTGGGAAATGAGGACCCCAGGAAAGAGAGCACATCCCAACCATCTCCATCCTTAGGTCTTAGATTTCCCGGCCACACTTAGTGTGGAAGAAGACACTGGGGCCCAAGGAAAATTCCAGTTATCCATCAGTCCCTGAGGTACTGACTAACTGCTCTTGCCCTTATCAGCTTCCATCAAAGCCAGACTGGTACATGGGAAACCCCTTTGTGACAAAGCTGTGCTGGATTCGGCCTGCGTGGATTAAGTGAGGGACCTTTAGCGGTTTCTGTTCAGGGGCTTTCACAGATTCCCAGCAGTGACCCAGAGGGTCTACTGAAGATCTCTGACGAGCCCTCCCACAGAGCCCTCCCACGACCTTGTGAAGCGGCCCATTCCACTTTGGAATAGCCCCGTCACCCGGTCTTTCCTGACATCCCACCTACTTTGTCTCCTTGGCTCCTAACAAGTCTGCTAGCTCTCTGCTCCCATGTGACAGACTGAGGACTTGAAGCCGGCTGCTGGCCCCCTCAGGTCTTCTCCTGCTAATCTGCCCGATTCCATCATTGCGTTCTCGTACAGTGTGATTCCAAGATTCTTCGCCATCTTCATCGCTTGTCTCTGAACACACTCCAGCCTGGACCCGAATACAATGCTGGGGGGGGGGTCTGACCAGAGCAGAGTAGAGCAGGAGTCTCAGCCCCCCCCCGCCACAGTCATGGAAACGGGGCCTCTCTTACCAGCTTGTGAGCCACAGAATCCACAGAGAGTTTCCACAGACTGATCTCTAGCCAGACCTCACCCACATGCTCCTTGTGGACTTTGACTCTTTGAACACAAATGCAAGACTTTACATTTCTGTTAGTTAATTGTCATTAGATTTGGCCCAAGTTCTAGATTGTCAGGACCTTCTTGGATCCTCACCGTCATCCATTGTATGAGATCTACTGTCCGTGCCTTTTTCTGAGTCGTTGATCAGAGCAATAAATGGCCCAGGGCCAAACACAAATCCCTGGGGTGCTTCACCTGGAGACTCCTTCCGAGTAGATTCAACCATTCAACCCGTTCTGAATTTGCCCAGCTACACTCATCTGACCCACATCTCTTCACAAGCACTAGCACGAGAGACTTTTTTGTCAAAGGCCTTTCTAAAATCTGGGTGAGGAACTGACATCAGCAGCATTCTCCTAATCTGTAACCCCATCAGAGTTCTGGCACAGCCTGTTCTGAATGAAGCCATGTCAGTCCTTTATGAGCCCCTCCCCACCTCCTCCCCAGTCATCCCATCAAGAGTGAATTCTACAGTGTGGCCAGGAATCGAAACCCAGCGCACAGGTTTAATGATCAGACGGTTCTCTTCCCATATGTCCCTTCTTCCATCCCATAGGGTCTGTGCCATTCCCTACAGTCTTTCAAGTGGGTTATGATCAGATCGCCGATCCCTTCATGACCCTACGATATAGTTTGTGTGCACTAGGTAGCTGGGCCTCAGGTAGGGCAGTAGACACTTTCATGCCATCTCCCTCCTTATCTTGGGTATCACCTCTCTCTTAACCCTCTTTGTCTTTTCCGGTCCAAAGATCATCCTCGGTGGCCGAAACCATCCATTACTTGCCTTCGTTTTCATCTTCCATTGATGTCTTTTTAAAACCAAGGTTAGGTGAAGAACTTCCTGTGTGTGTGTCTCCTGACAGCTCTTCTCTTTCCTCCTCATTGAAATTGTTTCTTTTTATGTCTTCAGAATTTCATTACCAAAACAAACCACCTCTGCCTAGCCGGCTTCCACTCTAGAATTTTAGGCCAAAGTGATTCGATATGTTCTTTCAGCCATTGCTTTATGATCTGCTCTCCTAAAATCCAGACTGCCTGTCACGTTCTGTAGGCTTTTCTCTCCTCTGTCAAACACTCTAAGGTGGAGGGGTCCCTTTCCCAGATGCTGCCCATTTTTCATGGCTGTCCCCTAATGCCTTCTGGTTTTCCCTGCAAGACACCGGAGATAAGTGAGGCTCTGGAGATGAGTTTGATGTAGCAGCCACTATGTGACAAACACCCATCGTAGTCCCTCCTTCTCTAAGCCAGCAAGTAAACCTTGTCTGCATCGAGACCTGATATCTGGGAGAGAGAAGGAAACTAAGTGAGTCTTCATCCTCATCACTTCTTCCCTCGTGGCACCACAAATATCTCAAGTCCCTTGGTCTCTAGACCAGACTCCAGGAGAGCACAGCATGAAAGAGGGTCTAAGAGCTTAAAAGAAGTCAGAGGTAGCACTTGCCTTGCCTTTGTAGGGTCAGTTTTGGCAAACTTGTGGTTATGGTGAAATCTGGATTTGCATCTCCTCAAGAAGCAGCATCCACAGGACACAGGATCAGAGAATCCTAGACTTAGAGCTGGGAGAGACCTTGCAGGCCAGCCAGTCCCACCCTCTCTTTTTACAGAGGAGGAGCTAAGACCCAGATCTCCTGAGAGATCCCAGGGCCACCCAACTAGTAAGTGACAGAACCAGGAGTCAAACCTAGGCCGCTTTTCCTCCTCTGTCTCCCACCCTCTGCCCAGATGTCTCTGAGATTCCCTGAAGAGAGAAGCCAGGCTGGGATACCAAGTGAGAGGTGGCTTAGGGTAGGAGACCCAGATGGACAAGAAGAGATACAGAAGCCATTCCCATTGGTCCGTGATCAGAAGGGATGACCTCATCCTAATCGTGGTCAGTGGAGGTGACGTGTGTCCTCTGAGAAGCCACCAGCCCACCCCAGAGCCTCCCTGCTCCCCAGGCTGTGGCTGGAGGAGGGCAGGTAGAACGTCCTCTCCCAAAGGCAAGCTTGGACTGTTCTTTTTTGTCGTCGTTGCCACAGTTCCTGGTACAACCAGGAGGCTTACTAACTGTCGGTTGGATTGAATTGATACCAAGGCTGAAGCCAGCAGTAACTATGAGCCAGGCTCTTGAGTCCTATGAGGCATTCGTGTGCATTCCTCCAAGCCAAATGTGCCCAATCGTTACAGCCAACAAGGAGGGGCTTCCCCCGTACCTCTGTAAGGTGTATCTCGCCACGGGCTGTGCCTAAGCTGATCAGCCCAGAGAGGACACTGAACCGAGCAAGGAGGAAGAGTGCCTGGGTCCCAGCTTCTACTTCAGGGCAGCACCTGAGAAAGCAGTGGGGGGTGTGCCTTACACCGGGGCTCCAGCATGAAGAAAAAGGTCCACACCTTTCAGGTGATCTCTGACCAAGGCCTCAGAGGCGCCACACCTAGAACCAGTAAACGGAGGGGGGTGCCTCAGAGAGGCAGGAGACTGAGGCCTAGTGCTGGCCCGCCTGGCCCTGGGAAATCAGCCCTGATCCACAGCTGAGCACTTGCTTCATGGGTCAGCTCCACTGCCACCATCTTTGAATGGACCTACTCACCTGGTGCCATAGCATCCCTTGTCCTGCTGCAGTCACACTTTGTAAGCCTCGGTCACCCTTCCCTTCTGCCTCTTCCATCCTCCCACGCTGCAGAGAGGATGGAAAGAGCCAGACCAGTGGGTCACTGCTAGTTCACAGGATTGCCATCTCGAGGCATAGCAAAAACTCCATCCTATTATTTGGAAATGAGGAAACACTCAAGAGATCGAGTTTTTAAAAAGAGGCTAGAGGCCACCTCCTGTGAGCTAGCTCCCTCTGTCTCCCTCTTCCTAGCTCTCTGTCATCTCTACCCACCCTCTCCTCCATCACTTGAGTCTCAGATATGGCTGTGGCTCTTGCCTTTGCCAGGGCCAGCCCCACTGTGTTTGCCCCCTTTGGTCTTCCTTCTCTTTCACTTTTCTCTCTCTACCAGATCTTTCCCTGCTGATGTGTAAAGGTGACCTTTCTCCTTAAAATGTTCCCAAGCCCAACGCCTCCTCCAGCTGGTCATTCTACTGCCAGCCTCCAAGAAGGCTCCTTGCCTCCACTTTTTCCTCATTCCCTCTTTCCTCAGGCCTGTGCAATCTGGCTCCGACCCCCACCGCTCAGTTGAAACTGCCCTCCCCAAAGGGCGTTAAATGGACTCTTCACTGCTACGTCTAGTGTCCTTTTCTTAGTCTCTTCCTTCTTGGTTTTTTGCAGTTTTTGGTGCTGTAGGCCACACCCTTTGCTCAGAGACATTTTTCTCCCTTGTTTTTCGTGATGATTGTCTCAGTTTTCCTGCCAATCTGACCCCTCCTTTCAGGAGACTTTGTTGGATTGTCGTTGATCTCTTGCCCCTTAACAGAGGCATTCCCCAGGGTTCTATCCGGACTGTCTCCAAGAGATTCCCAACACTATCCATCCATTCTTAATCCTTCTCCAGTCTTGTATCTCCAGCTGCCCAGTGGGCATCTCACCCTAGGCAGGTCCAAAATGGAAGTCGTCCTCTTCCCCCTTGAACCTGCCCCAACTTCTGTTTCTAACCTTGGAGGCATCCGTGGCTCTTCCCTCATCCTCAGTCAGTTGCAAGTCTTCCCAGTTGTACCTCTTCAGCATCTGTTGAGTTCAGGCTTTCCTTCTACCTGAGGCAATTGGCCATTGTTCTCGGCTTGGTCAAGGGTAGCTTCCTCCTCCTTGGTCTTCCTGCTTCCTGGCTCTCCCCTTCTCTTTCTTTGTAGGGCCAAGTCCTTCTTCTTCCTTGGACCTGGACGTGCTGCTTTGCCCCAGTAGAATATCAGCTCCTTGAGGACAGAGCCACCTTGTACTTCTGTCTTTGGAGCCTCTGGGCTTAGCTTAGTGACTTGCAGTGGAGACTCCTAAGTCTCTGACTTTTCTTATCTAACGTTTGTCAAATTGAATTGGACCATTCTACTGGACCATCAGAATAAAGAGTGGTTTAGTGATGTCATAGATTGCGGCTCAGATCCACGGTATGAATAGTGGGGGAGTCACAGTTATCTCAAGGCAAATTCCTGAATGAGAAGATGTCTGTAAGAGCACTTAACCTTCATTTGCATCCCCAGGCCAACAAACAGGCACATTATTATTAATAATCATGGCACCATATCAGTCTGGTAACTGCAGGGGCCATCCCTGACCATCAGCTGGCCAATCCCAAGAGAAGAAGGGCCCGAAGTCGGCCACAGGTTTTGTTTTTACGTTTGGTAAAACCTGTGATTTCAGTGGGGCAGGACATTCCCTCTGCAGATACAGATTATCGGTGTTCTTTGTCAACTTGTAATCAGAGATTTTCCTTGCAGATTTCTTATACCTTTAGAAAGTTACCTGTTAAGTTGTCCACTGTTCTGGATGGAGCCCTGGAGTGGAATTGACCCAAGTAGTGGCCTTGACCAAGTGGCATGGCGTGCCCCTCCCCCCAGTCTGTAACTGAAGAGGTTGGACCGGTCGCCCTCAGAGCCCCTCCCAGCTCCCAGGCCTGCGATCCTCGGCTGTTCTGGGGACAGCGATCGATCTTGATCGATGACGCTGGGTTTGAGCAGTGCTGAGATGGGCTGAGGGTGTGGCCTCCATCGACCGGGGCGGGGGGGGGGGGGGGGTGCCTCATGGAGCCGGGGAGGTCAGCTCTTAAAGCTGTTTCACAGAATGAAGCAGGAGCCATTTCACAGTAAGTGACATCTCCACAGTCACACCGTCAGTGAGGGTCAGAGGTGACATTCAGACCCACAGCAACTTGTGCTTTGAATCTGGCACCACATATGCACTGTTTTCATTTAGTTCAGCTGCCTTGGCCCTATTGCCTTCCTTATTAAAAGGCCAGGCAGTCAGCGTGCAAAGATAAATGTTCCCTGCCATGCCGATGCTACCACGACCTGCTGGGATCTTTGTGTGGGAGCAGGTAACGGGTCAGTTCCACTCCAGGGCTCCGTCCAGAACGGTGGACAACTTCACACTCAGAGGGAAGTGCCTTTGGGAAGAGGGGCTTTGGTTGATCAGGAGAGTGAATGAGCTGGAAGGGGACTGGGGATCTTGTGTCCTGGGGGCGGGGCGGGGTGGGTGGAGAGCAGAGTTGAAGGTGGCTGTGGGTGGGGGTGGATCTGCCCCTTCTTTCCAATCCCCACCCAAATCCCGGTGCCTAGGTTATTGCACTAGCC